CACTGCAATTTTAACCCCCCTCCGGGCTTGAGTGAGTACATACATTGATTTGATTTCTTGGCATCAGGCGATCCTTCCATATTTCCAACCCCAGTAGTAACACTATGTCCTTGTATCTATAATGAATATATATTATTATCTTTAGCCTCCGAGCTCAGGCCGCTGCTGACACTCTTAAGTCCAGCAAAAAGCCAAGCTTTCTTAAAAAGGTCTAAGACCGCCCAGTGCTGTTTACCAGATTACCTGTCCTACGATATTGCCTCGAACAGAGTATCGAGCAACAACGTATACAGTAGTATAACCCTTGGCGTCGACATAACTGGCAGTAGCAATTCCAACCTTGGCAGTGGCTCTCCAGACGTCTTGGGCTGTAGATAGTCTCAGATATCAGTAATGCCTTTACTATACAAGGAAACGCGGGATGAAAGACTTACTAAAGTAATACGCTCCATCAGGCTGATGCCTAAGATTATACTTGTTGCCGCCATAGTTTTTGTAATTGCCTTGCCCATCAATCCTATTCCAGTGGATTAGCACGCCATCACATCATACTTCAGTGATTTTCCATAGCATCAAACTTACCAGTTCTGAGTGGCCGATGTCAATGGGTTATCCACCTTTTTACCAGGAGAGACGCTTTCGGTGTTAGACAGTATTATTCTTGCTGTATCATCTCAAACTGGTGGAGTACTTACGTGAAAGCCCGCGAGTTTTTGCCTTGATCCATTCGTGTATTGATTGATGAAATGATGTATTGTGCCTTGGTATCGGCAAGACTCTGCACATACTTCTGTGCAGCAGCTTCAAGGCCAGTGTCCCAGACCAGAGGTGCAATACTCAGCTGTCTTCGTCTTCCGTTATGGCCGGCGAGGGCTTGAGATTGATCCCAAGTCAGATCTCTTGCAACCAGTGGGCCTGTGGACTCGTCGATGGGGCTCGCTATGACTCCCGACAGGAGATGAAGGCCCATGAGAAGCGAAGATGGGTTGAAGATTGTCGAGAACAACATTTTGATTGGGTACATGAGCAAGATGGGGAGTGTATGGGAAAGTTTGAAAGGTGAAGATGATTCTGATAGTGGTAAAAGTAGTTCCAGATGTTCTCTTATATATTTGTAGTTAACAACGATAGTGTAGAGCACCGTTATTATTCAAGCGTCAATAGGTAAGTTGTCTCAGTATTCACTGCTTAGCTCTACTCTTAGACTTGGAGGGGGCTCTTCAACAAGTCTTGTGGCCCTTGTCCAAGCACAATTTCACCTTGGACTTCAAACGCACCCATCTAGCTATAAAGTGATCAATTACACGACATTCCCATAGCAATACGCTTTATATGATGCTTATAGTGATATCCCATGCCAAATGCCGATACTCTAGTCTCTAATGCAGAAATGTGGGATGATAATCCTTCATGGCCGATATTTGTCAGCTCAAGTCAATATCACCCCGAAAGGGCGTTCCGATGACGTTGAAACAACATGGATACCCAGACACTTCACATAGCAAAGGTTTATATATATCAGACTGATCAGAACTTCGCAAATCAGACCGAACCCTCAAGTACAATTGACTTTTAACAACCATGGGTTCAATCACCAACATGCCAAAACTCACTCTCTATCGCACAAACGGTGCCTGTTCCTTAATCCCCCACTCCATCCTCAATCACTACAAAATTCCATTCATCCCAATCCGCCTCAAACCCGGTCCAAACGGCTACGAAGCTGCAGATGGTAGTTTCACCAACGCAGAGTACCGTTCCATCCACCCGAGAGGCTACGTCCCCGCCCTAGCCGTCAACGACCATATCATCACTGAAATGCCGGCTATTCTGAGCTTCATATCCTCGCTCATCCCAGGCAAACGTCTTATGAGCAGTACACCATTTGAGAATGCCAAAGTTATGGAGTGGCTGGTCTTTCTATCGGGTACACTGCACGGTCTTGGATACGGTGCTTTTTTGAGACCGGGACGATTCAGCGATAATGAGAAAGGGTATGAGGGGATTAAGGATAAGGGGAGGAAGGTCATCGAGGAGTCATTCAGGAGGATTGACAATGGGTATAAAGGGAGAGAGTTCATTGTTGGGAAGGGCTTGACGGTTGTGGATTTTAATGTCTATGTTTTTGCGAGGTGGGCGCATGAGGCTGGCATTGACATGAAAGACTATCCTTCCTGTCATGAGCACTTGAGAAAGATCGAGAAGCTGGATGGTGTAAGGAAGGCACTTGAAGCAGAAGAACTAGAGCTCGCCTTTCCCTAAGCGACACACGAGAAGGACAAGTTCTTGAACGAATGTAATATAAAACGAATGACAAGTCTATATACAAATATTACTCATCTACCTCAAGAGACCCTTTGCATGCCGTCTTCGATGCCTATTCAAGAATCCCATGGCCGTGGAATTACTAACATACACATTCATCTTACTCAACCCACCACAATAAGAACTCTTATCTCCCGGACAAGATATATTGCAATCCGACATACTCACATTCTTGCCCGTGTTAAACATACCCTGCCAATTAATCGCATTACCACAATAACAATCCCGACCGTTTTCCACGCCGGCGTATTTGTAGCTGCTGCATTTGTCGAGACACGTATCGACTGTCATTGACCGAAAGTCTGTGAGGACTAGTTCGGGGAGGAGACGGCCTAGGAAGGGCTCGCTGACGCAGGAGTAGCTTGTGAAGCTTCGGGGTGCTTTGCCGGCTTTGTAAAGTTGGAGACGTTGTGAGCCGCCGCAGAATTGGGACTTGTCGCCTGCGCAGGTCGAGGAGCAGTCCTTTTGGTTGAAGGCTTGGTAGGTGCCGAAGGTGAGGGTGTTACCACATGAACATTCGCGGCCGTTTTCGGCGCCGAAGTAAGTGTAGCCTTTGCAGAAGGCGGCGCATGATTCGAGAGTCATGTCGTCGGCCGTTGTGTATTTGGCTGTTAGGGCGCGGATGAGGAAGGGTTCAGCGTAGCAGCCTTGGAATTGCCATGTTCCGATTGTGTCGGAGATGGATGGTGTGGTGGGTTTGGTAGAAGTTGTTGTCTTGGAAGAGCTGGTGGTTGAGCTAGTTGTGATTGTCGTTGTGGCGCGGGATGTTGTTGATGTTGAGCTTGAAGTTGATGAGGTGGACGACGTGGTAGATGTCGTTCGAGTAGTACCAGTTGAGCCAGGAACTGGGACTCCTGCTTGAGTGCTCAGGGCAGGAATGACAGATGATGGGGCACTTGATGGAGCGACAATAGAGGATTGCACGATTGATGAGGGAACACCTGGCGCAGACACGATCGACGAACCAACACTCGATGAAGGGACAGCCACTGAGCTACTAGTCGACGTGGGACGAGTGACAACAGCTATCGTCGTGCCAGACACTACCATCACTGACGAACCCGGGTTGGAGAGACCAATGGTGGAAGCAGTGTTGGGCAAAGGTGGGTTCTGAACCACTGCGCTCGACGTGGTAGAAGTCGTAGTAGAGGCTGTAGAGCGACTGCTAACTGGAGAGCCAGTAGAGAAGGTCGTCCATGACGACGAACTACTCGAGCTAGTAGTCGATGTACTAGACGTGGTCGTCGAAGTAGTCGTAGCGACCGAGCTCGAAGTCGTCGAGGTCGTGGATTGAGAGGTAGTACTAGTACCGCTTGAGGTCGACGTGCTGACCAAACTGCTGCTTGAAGTAGAGCTGTCAGACATAGATGTGGAGACAGCGTTTGCACCACCGGCCACGTTTCCGTTTACACTGACTGAGCTACTCATCGTCTGAGTAGAGCTCGTCGAGGTAGATGTGGAGCTCGTACTCGTGGAGCTTGTAGATGTGCTGGTAGAAGTAGAAGTCGAGGACGAGCTACTCGTAGAGCTTGAGCTGGTAGTCGAACTGGTGCTGGTACTTGTGGAGCTGGAAGTTGAAACCGAACCAGGGATAAGCAAAGAAGTAGAGGTCGACGTTGAAGTGGAAGAGGAAGTACTGCCGGTGGTGGAAGAGGTGGATAACGAGCTCGACAGAGTAGCGCTGTAAGCAGAGTTGACCTGATAAACGTTGAGACGATTAGGCCCACCACAGTACTCACTCCCATTTCCTACAACCGTTAGCCATATTCCCCATATTTTAGTTCACGTACTCACCGTTACAAGTCATGCCACAATCAGTAATGGGAGCAGGAACAGCTCCATCGGTAAACGAATTGCCACAGTAACACTATATCGTCAGTATAAATCTCAAAATTCTTTAACAGAAGACTTACCTCTCCACCATACTCAACACCCGCGTAGACAAAACTCTCAGCCTTACAAGCATCTACACAGTTCTGCACAGTAGGCGAACTAACGCCCCGTCCATTGGGCAGTGCTCTTCCAGCTGTTGCTTCGGTGTAGCATCCAATACTGGTGTATCCATCAACGCCAGGATTGACGAATGGTCCTTGAGGAGTGTTTGTGCTGCCACCAGATGAAGATGAATCGCTGAGACTTCCATCCCATTGGAGTGTATCGGCGAAAAGACTGATATATGAACCACTTCCATCAACACCATTTCCACCACAGTACTGCGCCAAACTTCCCGCGCAGTCAAAGTTGCAGTTCGCATCGTCGACCTTCTCCTTGGGAATTTTATTGCCGGCCCAGCACTCACTGCGATACTGTGTACCGCAGAATGTTAAACCTTCGGAGCCGCAGGTGTTGATGCACATTTCATTGGTGTTGGAGCCGTTCGCATATAAAAGATTGGAGAGTTGACGGCCGGGGTTATTCTCCTTGAAGCAACCCACATACTGATACTGGCCTTGACCGTTGGGAAGGAGAGGAGCGGCCTGTTCCGAGACGGCGTTGCAGAAGAATTGGATTGCGCGCTTTTCGAAACTCCATGTTGGATCGTTGGTGTTGATAGTCCACTGTGCAGTGCCATTATATGCAGGGACGTTCCATTGGGATTTGGGGACGTTGCATGTTAGAGTCGCTGTTTGACTTTTGCCTGGTGCGATCAGAGTACCTTCGGCCAAGTCAACTTGATTAGCTGACCTAACGATCCCAGGCACGCCGAAGGGAGGTTTGGAGACAGTGAGACCGAGTTTGACACCTCCTGGTGCAGCGGTATTGCTGATTCGGAAGCGCAGAGACTTGGAAGTATTCTCTGTGACGTTGCCGAATGTGAAGGGAGTGTTGGGATCGTATTTGACCCAGCTGTTGCCATCGGGTGTTTGGAATTCGAGAAGCGCGGTAGGAGGATCACCTGCTGATGCGGACAGCGAAACGGTTGCGTTACCGCCTGTGGTGACGAACTTGACCCAAGCAGTAAAGTTTCCAGAAGCAGAAGTATCAGGAATGACAGTGATCGCTGTATCGCTACCTCCACTGACAGAGCTAGGAATACCAGAGAGTGTGAACTTTCCGACTGTAAGGCTGCCTGAGCCTGACCATGTGGTAAATGGTCCAGACGAAGAGGAATTCGTGTACAGAACAGACGAGACTTGGAGAGATTTGGTACCGTCGTTTCCGATCAGAATGGTTTGCTTATCAGCGGTCGAACCACTAACAAGACCTGTGAAAACAACAGATTTGGGACTAACGTCCAACAAAGCACCTGAGCTTGAGCCAACACCCGTAAAGCGGACCTTGGTAGTCTTGCTATACGACGCATCCGCAACACCAGAAGTGACAATGTTGACTGTGCCACCCAATCTTCCAACACTCTTGGGTGAGAACTGCGCTGAGAATTGAAGACTATCTCCCTTAGACATTGACAGAGGAAGGGAGGGTGTCTTGGTGATGCCGTAGTTCGTCGCATCCGCAAGACTAATGTTCGTAACAGAAAGATCAAACAAAGCCGTACAATTCACAACTTGTGGAAAAGTAGCATTCTGCAAATCCGTAGTCCCAAAGTCCACGGAAGCAGTACAGTTCAACGGCGATTTGTTCGTCGAACCAAGACCGTAGAAGTAACCAACAGTAGTACCGATGTACGCCATCCCATCACCAAAGACAGGTCTGCTGAACTTTGTAATGCCGACAATCGTAAAGTTGCGAATGACGTTGAGATATCCATTCTGAGGAACTGCATCGTAGATCTTAAAGTTGGTGTTCTGAACATCGGAGACCCAGAGAAGACCTGTTCCTTCTTGGCCGTTGAGAGAGGTGGTTGTTCCGTGGCTTACGCCGAGAATGTAGGCGTTGTTCGTTGGACTGTCTGCTACTTTTGTAAAGTAGGGATTGCCGTTTAGACAGGAGAATTTGAAGACGTGCGTAGGATATTGGATGACTGAACCGTTAGCGTTATTCTCACCTCATATGTGAAGGACTTACCATTGATATAGATATACCCTCCTTCAAGAGGATATACACCAGCCCCCGCATAAACAGAATTCTCATTCTGAAAAGTCTGAATAACACGATCTTTCAAATTGGCTCCATTCCGATAACCGCCCAGATCATCAAGATTAAGCCAATACGTCTTTCCAGACTTTCCAGTCACGATACCCATGCGTTTGACATCACCACATGAGAATTGACTCGGCAGAATCTCAAGAGGACTTGTTCCTAGATCTTTATCCGCGCCGTCAAGTTCTTGTTTTTCAAAGGGCATGAAGAAATCTACCACAGAAAGTGTTCCGTCGCTGTTGATCGACATGTGTACGGCTGCTTGTTCCATGGCAGTAGGAGGCGTGAAGCCATTTACTGGAATGGTGGACAGTTGGGATGCGTAGCCGTTGCCTGTGGCGAAGAACATGGATCCTGCGTCGTCGGATGCCAATCCACCACCCGATTGCCAGATTCCTGCACCGGAGATGTTACTGCTCACGCCTTGTCCTTCAGAAGCCCAGCGCTCGACGATTGCGCCGGTGGTTTTGTCCCAGCCCATTATCCAGCCTGTGAAGTTGTATTGCACACAATGCGAGGCGAAGCCAGCGTATACAAACTGGCCTGTATGTAACAGACCTGGACGTTGGTGATGGATACCGCCGGTGAACATTCGCTCGGGATTGTTCCTCGCGATAGTTCCTTCGAGATCGACGGGGAAGCCAGAGCGTTCTGAGAGATCGTTTACGTTGATGGCATGAAACTTGTATCGTCCAGCCGGTCGTCCCTGTGGTTTCGGTCCATAATTCTGATCAACGTATGTCTTGGACGTGAGATACCATGTATCAGTGTCAGGATCAATAACACCAGTAGCAGTAACACCAACGGTAGGATTAACATCCACACAACCATCCAGATCAGCTGTAAGGAAAGGAATGCCTATGTTGCGCGAAGCCAAGATAACACCCGTTTTGGCGTCGAGTTTATAAATGTTGTTTTGCGTGGTAGCGAGGTAAACATATTGCGTTGTGCCGTTTGAAGGAGTGTAGACGAGCGGTTGCGAGAAGATTTGTTCGGCAGCGTTGATGTAGCGGCCTGGCAAGGCTGTTTTGAAGACAATGTCGAATTGGGGACTTCCAACTATCGCAGGATCCATGTTATGGTTTCTTTGGCCCAGTTAGTATGTGAGAGTGTTGGTGGTGGAGGGACTTACGTTTGGTATCCTGTTCGCGAGTTATCACCGCCCCAAGTGATGGTATCTGTAGATGCTAGACCAGCCACTTGGCTGGTCAAAGCTGAAAGAAGGAGTGTAAGCAACTTCATTGTGACGAAGTGCGAAAATGAGTGTATGGGTAAAATGAATGGCAAGAACCTCGAGATCCAGTCCTAGGGAAGTGTCGCGGCTTGAAGGTTGAGTCTATATACCGTCAAACTGCTCGCCCAACGGCGACCATCTTCCGGTCCAGACTTTCCATAGCCCATTGTAAGTTTTCCACCATTCTCTTGGTCTATTCATGGCTCATGTTTGTCGTCGACGCCGTTAACCTTTCGGGTACAGCGGCCAAGATGAGTCGCCAGCATTCCAGTTACCCGGCGGTGCCTTGCAGAACGCGTGGGTCGATTCCATAGTTCTGGAAAGAAATGGGCCTCTGGAAGAGGATTTGGCGTCTCGAAGGTGATAAAGAGGCTTTTGGTGATGCCATTTGCGGCGATGGAGTTGGGGCTAGTGGCGATGGAATGAGACAATGGCTTTGTTCCTGGCGATCAACGCTTTGCCTGTTCCGACTGATGGACCCTGGATTTGAGTTGTTTGGAATGTGGGTGATAGGACAGCAAATTTGAGGTCCGCCAGAGTTCTGCGTCACCGCCGTACACCTTCACTGCAATTTTAACCC